TATATATATATATATATATACTTCTTATGTAATAATAGAACAAGCGAAGAAAGTACTACAGCATATGTGAGCTAGATATTTTTTATATTTATTTATGTCAGAAATCTTGCATGATGGGATGTGACTTTTTATGAATAAATAGTGTTACAGAAGTTCGGTTTGACATATGCATTATGAATATTAAAAGCAGATATACTTATACGTCTATGGTCTGTTTGCATAACATTATATTCAATATCACATGCATCTTAATATGATATGGTTTTTGTAGTAATAAATAATATCAGAAAAGTTTGTTGTCATATATTCAACTTTTAATAACATTAAAAGCAGAAGCAACTGGTTTTTGCAATAATAAAAAGTATAATTTTGTAATAAGTAGTGCCAAGGAACTCGTTCTGACATAAAATATTTATAAGATTATTGACAACAGATGCATAATGCATCGCACCAGTGGAACATATACGTCTGGCTAATTATGCCAGAATAAAGATGCGGCCCTATATAAACAGGAGTGAATGTGATAAACAGGGTTGAGAAAGTTACTTATAAAAAATAATGCGTTACCCTTACTTATTACACATTGATAGAATTTATTACTATTACTCGTTATCCATTGAAAACATAACTACTGTAATACATAACTTACCGTAATGGTTACATAAAAGTAACGAATCTTTATAATTTCATAATTTTTTCACAAAATTGCGAAAAGTTTTTTAAAATTTCTTTTTGGCTATTCTATACACATATTCTATATGTGCGAAGAAACGTTAATTTCTTGTAAAAGTTACGAAATTATTCGTTGTTATCTAAAAAATATAACTGCGTCAATGCGCTACTATTACTACCGTTTTTAATTAAAATCTCGGTCAAAAGTTGGCTGAAATATATCACATATATTGTTCTACTTATATTTGCTGAACTCTATTTTACGTGTCTTCAGATCTCGAGTTTTATATTCGGTCTATTCTTATCATATCAATGAAAAGTGTTAGGCACGCATATACGTAGCTCTCCTTAGTTACATTATCTTTTCTCTACGGCTCATACAGAGATCAGTGTTAGGATCTATGTAACGACGATCGTCACACAGATCGACAAAGCGTCTCTGCGTAAGCGGAGAGAGAATAACGCTGCATCTTAGATCTGGCAACTCTGCGCTGTGTGCGTGGAGTCGAAATTGTATTATTGATGGGGCCGCGTCGAACATACACTGCTATCTAGCGTCTGTCCTAAACCGACGCGTACTACATTACCGACGCTTTCGAAGTTCGTGATCGCGTTCAGCATCCCCTTAATGGTCAATATATTATGAATGGATTCTAAAACATTAGAATCTACTTAAAATAGAAGACGTCTAAATTGCCACTTTTCTAGACGTACATTTAGACTAGAAGTAACTTCCCAGATAGCACGATGAATTCTTTAAGTGTTCCTAAAGCTTTCTTCTTTCCTGAACTGTACTTCTTTAGGAACTCGTGGAAGAATACTATAAGAATGATTAAGGAAGTTACATGCACCATGATTGGAGTTCTTCAGAACTTCCCAGAGTATTCCAATAGAGTGATATTATATGAACACAGATGTGTACTTTATGAATTCAAGAGAAATAATAATATTTAAGAGCATAGTGTTTTCATCGGGATTCGAATTGGGTTAAAGTCGGATTAAAGATTTTTCGCTGCACAACTGTACTGGTGCAATAAGTTGAAGTGAGACAAACATATATTTGTCGTCCTCCAACTTATTGCATCAGTGAAGCTATGCAGCGAAAAAGAATAGACTTTAACCCGACTCTGACCCAATTCGAATCCCGGTGGAAACATAGCCAGAGAGGGAACTATACAAAATATCCAGAAATCATAAAGTAAAAAAGAACATTACATAAATATTATAATTTCCCATTCAACAATATAAATGTAATATGACACATGTGTGCAACAGTTATATTGTTAAATGGGAGTTTATAATATTGATGTAATGTTACTGTTAACAGGCAGTATTTACTGAATAACGGTATGCTTCTAAGTAAAATAATGAAAATATGTAAAATACATGTAACTAAATCGGGAAAAATAAGACATTGGTTTGAATGTTTCTTAAAGTTATGTTTATAGACATTGACTTGTAAATACATATTTCTAGCAAAAAATATGTGTTTGTTCATATGCAATATGTATCAATAGATACAAGAAATGAAAAACAAAATAAATGGAAAATATGGAAATATGAAAAGTAAATATGGAAGTTTGATTGTACTGAATTTTATTGCACTTTTGTACAATATTGTCAAATTTTTATAAAGTTAAAATGTGAATGTTATAACATAAATGAGTTATAATAATATTATGAAGTAATATATATTATAAAGTATATTATATATTAGAAACTATAATATAAATGAGTTATAATATTTTATAGATATTTTATGAAGTACAGTTTAGATTAAGTTTGCATCCATATCAATTTCAGGTCGTGCAACTGTAAAAAGTTCAAATACAATATAATATATAAATAAATAAATAAATATATATATATATATATATATATATATATATATATATACACATATATATGTACAAAGAATAAAATATAAATTTCTTTTTCTTCTTTTTTTGCATTGATGTTAACTTCTATTTCAGTAAACTCCAATTAAAAATAATATTACATCAATATTATAATTTTGCATTCAACAATATGACTGTTATGTACAACATGTGTTATCTTAGTGAGCAGAAACTCTCGAATCGGCGCATTAGCTGTCTTTAAGATATCTTTAAGAGAATTCTGTAAGAAATGTCTTGTGAACGTTGCTTAAAGAACTCTTAAAGATATCTTAAATATTGTTAATGGATTGATTTGCGAGCTCTTACTCACTGGAATATTACACTTATATTATTGTGGGAAATTATAATAATGATGTAATGTTACTATTACCCAGATAGCCAAATCTGCGCGAACATGTTTCGAGCAGAGGTTGCTATCAACTTTTGATGGTAAATAGATAACAAATTTGATGCAGGATCTGTTATATCAAATCTTGCTGCCAAATTGCCGCCAGATATGCGGCAGAGCTTGTTGTCGGAAAATTGCTGCAGATTTGCAGTAGAAACCGCGCAGACCTTGCTGCGCTACAGGCTTTGCGCGGTTTTTGCTGCAAATTAGGCACCAATTGTCCGACAGCAAGATCTGTCGCCAAAACCGTAGCCTAATGTAGACACAGATGGCTATGTTTTTGCTGTGGATTTTTTATCAAATTTGCTGCCAATCTGCGCGCAGTCTGCGCTCAATTTGCTTACTGGGTAGTTAGTGTTTACTGCGGTAGCACTGATTCTAATTTCTCTAGATCTACGATAATCGAGACATACGATTTCATTTCCCTTACAAAAAGATATTACTTGCTGTGATAAATTGGCTATAATAAATTGGCCAGTGATACTGTATTGCTTTTCACTAGTTTTATCATCTGTACGAATAATAAAACTACTGAGTAACAATGGGCGCATTCAGTAGAAAAAGCGCTCAGTGAGCAATCAACGATTATTGGTTCTTGCTATTAGATCCCTAAATCTAGACCAATTACATTGACAAATTACTCAACTGTTGTGCAACTGTTGAGTCTGCTGAATGCAGCCAATGATATATCAGTGATCAATTTATCACAGCCAACAATATTATTTTATAAGGTTTGTAAGAACGAAACATTATTACATATCCAACAAACAGATAATTGATATATAATATATACATAACATGGACGTATGTTACGTCTATATTATATAGCTGTTATATTCTGTATTTGCTGGGATATGGAGTGAGACATATTATCGTAAACTCAATGAAGAAATTAAAATATGCGACAATTAACTCACGATAATCTTTTCTCTTTTCCGCTTTTTTTCCCGATCGGACGCATGGTTTAACCACAATTGTATAGCGTCTTCCAATTTTTTGATGTTAGTAGACGCGTGCGCCGATACCATGGAATCTATAACAAATAGAATATTATTAATAGAACTGTTTTACTGCGTAACTGAAAAAGTAATATAGTAATTATATCTGACTTTAGAAGATCAAGCATACTATCCATAACTTTATATTAATGAAATATTCATGTCGTACATGTTGTATACTTTAATGTGACTTACCTACAATAAGTTTTGAAATCAACAAATCTTTAAATCTAATAGTTTTTTTCTGTCTGCTCCAAGAATACTTAATAGCTAGTGTATTAGTAATTATTCGTCTCATTGCTCGTCTGCCATGTTCTCCAATGTCTTTCCCACCTTCTCGTTTTATAACAGTTTTCTTGGAAACAAAAACATGTTTCTTAGTTTTTATAAGGAAAAATTGGATAAAAAATTACACACATGCGCACGCACATGCCTACACACACAGGTAGTTTGATGTAAATATGTTGCTCAGAGTACTGTGAAAGTGGTGCAAATATCCCTGAATTGATCCCATTTTGTTATTAAAATTTATTCGTTTAAAATGTGCATGACTTTGTTAAAGAAAATTGCTAAAATTTCGATAAAAATAACTTTTTACTAAAAAATTTCTAAAATATCGATAAAGTTACTTTTTAATGAAATATTAAAATATGAAATGATACTGAAATGGGATCAATGCAAAACTGTTTGAAACATATTTCAGCAAATTATCATAATATTTTCATTAAAATATTATCATCAGGTTTACTAAAAAATTATATGACTTTTTACTAAAAAAATATTGAAATAACGAGAAAAGTAATTTGTTACTGAAATCTTGATGAAATGAGAATGAAATGCGGTCAATTAAAAGAGATTTCAAATATATTTCAGCAAAGTTTCAGTACAATATTTCCATCAAAAGTGTCCAAAACTTTCATCAAGAGTTCATGTAAAGATAGAACGGATTATAATTAGCAGAAAAGTCATGTGGCATTTTACAAATTTCAATGTGAGAAAATGAGCGGGAAGCATTGGGGCAGATTACGAAGACGCATAAATATGGATTATATATATATAGACTTTGTATAAGACATATGGCTTACAACTTAGAATCTTGTTACAACAATGAGAATCAGTTGCAACATGTAGTATTGGCACTCTGCATACCGCATTTCACGATCTGATATTACGAGAAACAATGTAGTGAATAACGTACGGGAGTTGATTCCTATTGTTACTAGGAGATTCTAAGCAGTATGCCATTTGTTTTACTAACTCGATTTATGTATCTTTCTTTATGTATGTTTGCAAAGTCTGTCTCATCGCTTTCTATTCGCTCAAATTCTGTCATTTTCCTAGTATCAAATTGTTAACAGAAATACTGTACAACATTCTACTCTCCATAAGTTTAACATATATAGGTAATATGTCAATAATACTTACACACTGTTCTCGTTTTTCTTTTTTATTTAGAAGTATGTTTTCAAATTCTTTCATTTCTTCAACACTTTCCATTTGTAAAAATTCATTCAGATCTAATTATTACGTTTCCCATATATACTTAACTATAATCAGATACAAGGTTAACTGCATTAAAAATATGTGTATATACAGAGTGAGTCATTTTAATTGAACCAGGCAAATATCTCGAAAAATATCTATTTATTTTTATTTTTTAGTCATAAACAATTTATCTAATTGTTTAAATGAGACTATAAGATCTCAAACGATCTAGAAAAAAAAAGAAAAGTCTTCTAGAGCGATTTTTGTGAATAACACGCTTTAGAAACCATATTGGTAACGTAGACCGCTTAATACAAGAGTATTCCAATGTTTAACGACCCGGGGGCACGGGTTCTCGTTATCCGATCGAGCAAAAGTTTGGAAAAGATA